TACACACACACACACACACACATATATATATATATATATATATATAGGTAATACATAATATATATATATATATATATATATATATATATACATACATACTTTGATGAACGAAGGGTGTCTTCATGTGCCAGCATCTTTGTGTACAGTAGAATACTGTTGTAGTATATTGTCTAATTCAATTGAACAATACGTAACAACATATGAAGCGAAACAGTATCACCTTATACCACCAATCAGAATAACTACAAAAACAGAGGCCCACTATCGGGGATAAACCAATTGCAAATCCCGATTCTCAAAACACCCCCCAATTCTGCCAGAAAGAAATACATAAATAAAAATGGAAGCGAGACAATTACATAAATAATCGATCTCGAAACGCACCTCATGGCTCGGCTCCACTTTTCCAATTTCAGATGATCTTTGGTGACCTTCACAACACCCTCGTTTCGTTTAAGCACAGCATTAATCTCCGTGACCCATTTGTCCCTCCGCCAGTCGGCTGTGGTAGCGCACTTCAGTGTGCGGCCGTCCTGATGGTGGTTCATAGGAGTTTTAGTACTGGTCTCGTAAACTTGTTTTATGTCCTGGTCTTGTAAACTTGGTTTATGGAATGGACGAGTGTGCTGTATTGTGTTGGATTCATGGCATGATTGTATGCAGTAGTGACCCAATTCTCCCACCACCAGTCGGCTGTGGTAGCGCACTTCAGTGTGCGGCCGTCCTGGTTGTGGTATATGGATGAGTTTATGTACTGGTCTGGCAAACTTGGTTTATGCAATGGCCGAACGTTTGCATACATCGTCATGTTTGCATGAATTTGGCGTGCGCAGTGCGGCTTATGGCATGGATTCTGTAGTTGTGTGCTGTATGTACGCTGTAGTACAGACACACATGCAGATATCTGAAGTGAGTTTTATCGTCTGGATGGATGTATTGGTGTCCTAAGTGAGCTGTATGTCGCACTCGTGTTTTGGTAACCTGGATGAGATATATGACACGGATGTAGGTAAAGTGTTCTCAATGGCGGGTCATATCAAGAGTACATCGTTTGATGTCCTGAGTGAAGGACACAGCGATGGTTTGCATTGTAGTCCTCTGATTGGTTTTTATCGCATTAATGTGTATTCTGTGACCAAAATGTAAGTTGCATTATGTATGCATACATGTAAGCATGCATGCATGTATGTATTTATATATGTATATATGCCTGTATTTGCGTATGTATATCTGTATGTATGCTTGTACGTACGTCTGTATGCATGTACGTACGTCTGTATGCATGTATGTATATGTGTATATATGCATGTATTTATGTATGCTCGGTGGGCCAACACCTTCTAAACAGAACCAATCGCCCTGGACGACAGTGAAAAAGACTATCGCCCGCATGCGCACCCCCACATAACAACACCACACGCTGAGCCATTCCAAACAGCTTACCCTCAGATAACAGTTGAACAAGTGGTCCGGATGATCCCTCTTACTCTCTATAGCCTCACACCGAATGATATTGATGGGGCTGATTGACACAATGATCTCTCCCAGCATGTCTTGGGTGCGCACGAGCGTGAACACAATCAGGTTCCTGGCTGTCAGCATGCCCACACTCAGCCGCCACATGACCGTGTTGATCTTAACGCACATCACACCGCTGTGGAAAATGTTGGAATAGCTGGCACTGGGACGAGAAACCGTATAAGGATACAGGGACGTTAATAAGATGGACTTGTTGGGCACTGACGGAGGGGGAGCGTACAAGGATGTTGGTACATACTTGGGGTGCACTCACGGGAACAGATGCACAGGGGCACCGTAGAAGGATGTGTATATCTTCTTATTGCTAAAACACACATACTACTTACAAACAAACAATTCCTTTGAGGTCCCAGTTCAATACCATTTCCTATTAAATAGGTCAATTCGATACCATTTTTGTGTTGAATGGGACACGTCAATGCCAAATCGATACCATTTTATGACATGATGGGGCAATTCGGTACTAATTCTAATTTAATTGGACAATTCTATTCCATTCTAAATTAATGGGACAATGTTACAAAAATAGCAAAAGTACAAAATGTGAACTACGGACCACGACAGAGTCAGTGACTGTGCACCCAGTCGGAGAAACAACAACAGCGACAACGCCAATCAATCCCAGCGCACACAGTCAACACCAAGCCATTGTGCGTATTGCTGTAGTTAATAGTTCGCGCTGGCGGAGAATCGTAGACTGAACTGTTGAATGTGCAACGGCACATACGAATTCCTGCAGAGGGAGGGCGATGACCTGTCCCGTGTGTGTTTGGACAGGTGCCCTTGTGGCCAGAATGATCAATGGTATGAAGCACGCACCACGTGCGTGGTATATATGCCACTTATGCAGTTATTCAATACGTATGATATAGATGCAAGCGATGGAGGCTGTCACATGCTTCACGCCGTCGCATATGCACGCAATGACAACGCATTGTATTGCGAAGACTTTGGAATGGACAAAAGAACCAATCAGCCTATACAGACTTGCACATACACGTGGCAGATATATATACGTTTGTACGGTTAATACGTTTATATGTACCCAGATACCGATACATACACACAAAGACAAGCGCACACCTACACTCTCAGTACTTACTGTTCTTCCAGCTCCGACACGATCTGCGGGAATGTCGGCTTCAGAAACTGAAACCCGCTGCGGAGGGGATTCCAAATATTGGCCATCACAAAGGCGGCGTTTTCTATGCCTTTGGTGGTCACCTGGTTCAGTGTGGCGGGTTTTGACCCTTTCTTGCTTAACTTATTGGGCTTCTCGGAGAGTTGGGATGCTTTCGAACTCGTGCCACCTAGAGAGAGTGACGGTGGGATATGCCGTACGTACCAAAAGAAAGTTAGGGTGTATTCTCAGGTTTTTGGCTTAGAAAAATTAGGAGTGTTTTCTCAGGGCTGGCCCAAAAAATAAATAGCGGGTTCCCCCAAGTATTTGACCAAAGCAAGCCGTTCTTGCGGCAATTCGTCAGCATTAAATACAGTACAGATATCAAAATGGGTACGCATTGGAGTCATATATGAGAGTATGGTATATCCATAGAGTGTGCTAGCATCCGATTTAGAAATTTAGGGTTTAAACCCTAAACCCTCACCCTTCTGTTCCAAGCGTGTGGCGCTGTCTTCGTCATTGTCACTGTTACTGCCTGCCAAATCCCCTTTTGACGACGATTTCCTCACAAGCCCAAAAAGATTCTGTAATTTTTATTTTGGGTTGGGTTCGGGATTTTGGAACAAGGTCAGTTTGGAATCGGGTCGAAAGTGTAATATTTATGAGCGGTGTCCACAATTGGGCGAAGAAATATGCACGGTGTACATGGACTACTTACTATTGGTGTAGTACAATGGTACAACCGAGCGTATCTTATGTTGAGCAGTGTTTCTATAGCATACACGTAAATGCACAGGCACTGACATAGACATAGACACAGACGCAGACACTGACATAGACACAGACACATATAGACGCACATATACATATACAGATAAATATAAATATACACACAAAGGCAAAGACACAGACACAGACACAGACACAGACACAGACATATATAAATATGCCCACAAACACAAATACAGATACACACAGACACAGATACATACATATACACAGACACAGACACAGATACGCACAAACGCACAGACAGAGGCAAACAGGAATAGTAATAACAAACGCAAACACACATACACAGACACAGGCAAAGACATCTGTAATACATATATCATATATCCATATATATATATATAATATATATAATATATATATATATATATA